TGGGCATTTGTCATTATCATGATTAGATTATCTAATTGACAACAAACACTTTATACAGCTTACCAAGTAAGGACTAAAATGTAACACTTTGCAATAAATGGATGATAAATTCCTGCACCATATTTTACTCTTTTAATAGGGAAAATTAGGGAAAGAAAAACGGCGCGTGATATTTTTTTTTTAAAGATTATAACTTTCTAAAAGAAAACTCATTAGAACTTCGAAATGGTGTATTTCAACTTTGCTTAACTTATTTCAACATTTTAGTTATTTGTCCTAGTTAATTGTGCGGATGCCAGATTTATGTAACATATTTCACTATCTTCATAAAGACAAATACGGATATAACATTCAAATTCTCTTAAAAAAAACCTCCCAAGACAAACTTCTAAACCTCTGATCTTCATTATTATCGATACACTTGTCATACATGTACATCCTGAATAAATCAATTGTTATTTTTATCAAATTTGGAAATTTAAAACTTCTAAAACGTTTCCCGTAAGAGCGTAATCTTTCATTCTTCTCTATCTGTATAGATGCACCATTGTATCTATATCTTATCCCTTATGACCATGAAATTTTCCTCCAATGTGTCGTGGCTTTCTATTGGCTACTTTTTTTCAGTTAATCGATTTTCTCAAAATTCTCAGATAATCCCGGATTATCTCAGAATTTTCATATAATCCCGGATTTTCTCCAGTTAATTATTTATCTAATTTTGTGAGGAATATAATGAATTATCTCAAATATGCATTAAGCTGAGAAAATCCCGGTTTATCTTAAAATTCTGAGATAAACCGGGATTATCTGAAAAAAATCGAGATAATCCCGGTTTATCTGAGCTTAATGTAAAATAGTGAGATAATGCTAGTTTATCTGAGATAATCCTAGTTTATCTGAGATAATCTAGGATTATCTATAAAAGTGGTTCAGGCGTGCCATAGCTATGTATCGGAGTAAAACCGTTGATGACAAGGCATACGGCTATGTATCGGAGTAAAACCGTTGATGACAAGGCATTAGGCTTTGTATCGGAGTTGAAGTATTTCTTTATCGGATCCAAGATTTCCCCTTTTTAAACTTTTATCAGTGAACTATCAAAAGGTACATACAATAATATGCAATACAAATCAATAAACAGTAAAAACACTTTTAAAATAATCTGACACAGATTTTCCATGATCATCAACTATACTGAAAAAGTGTGTCAATATTGTAGTGTTCGAAGAGATCGCTTCAACCTTCCCACAATGAACCTTTATAGTTGCATCCTTTCTGTGTAAGCTACAATCATCTAACAAGGAAATTAAGTATCAAACACTTGCTCTTGAATATTATATCAAATTGTAGATAAATATTCATGAAAGAAGTTCCTTGAATTTTGCTAAGTACAAATTGCAAGTTCACTGCGCGAAAGGACCAGCGTCAAATTGTGATTTTTTTATTTGTCAAGTTAAGTAAATTGTATCTTTAAATAGCCTGATTAATACTTGTAATCCATGAAGTTCTACAACCCCTTAAGCCAATATTAGTATACTAATTACAGATTAGAAAATACATACAAAATGAAGAGAAAGAGATAGCACAACACAAGTTAAATCTTACGAGATACGAATTTCGATTTGAATGAGACAGAACACGACCATTCTGAACCGCAGAACAAAACATATTTTAATAGAAAATCATTTTGGGTCCGTTTTTATGACTTTCAAATACAAGAAAAAAAAATCTATTTTATCTATGGCGTGGATGAAAATCTTAATTTTTCCAAATAAAATTTTTAAAAACAAGTTAAAGAATTTTTGTGTGTTGTTTATTTACTTCCATGAAGTTAAGACATAACACTTCTATCAAAGATCCTTTTGGTTTCTCTTAGGGTTAAGTTCAAATCATTCTCGACTCTTTATGAAACTTTTAGTGGTAATAATCTAAGGGATAGTGGCTCTATGCCTTTTATGAAATCATCTCATTTGTTTTATGTATGTTCTGAACCGACCCTCAATTTCTAATTGTAAATGTGTTTTCATGAAAATTTTGTTATCACATCATATAGAGTATCAAATCCTGAAGAATATGTTTATTTATGTGTGTCATAGAAATGACGAATTTGAAAAAAAGGCTTCTTAGTAAATGTATACATAAAGTACACAGCATTTTAGATTCTATTGTTTGGATTTTGTCGAAAAATTATTTCCAAACTTTCAACAATTATTCTAATGTAACAGTATCAGCGCGTTCGGGTCACTTGTCTAGTCTTCCCGCTGAAATTAGTGAATTTACTATAATAAATAAGTTTATCTACAGACGTCAACCGGAAGATCTGGGTTTTTTTTTCCTTTTTACGGTACTCTAAGTTTCTTAAAGCTTTATTTGTAAAGAAGAACCTCAAATAGATCGATATGAACTGCTTTAAAAATCAGAGAACACACTTATAATGAATAATTGTTGTTAAATTTTCTTTTGAATATTCTTTAATTTGCCTATTGGAAAAAATAGCCATATGAGACACAACTTCTCTATTTAATATGATTGGTTTATTATTACGAAGCTTTTTTCAGAGGTTTTACTACATGTAGTAGAAAGTACGCGATGCTAATCACCAAAGTATTTCGACGTATGTTAATATTTAGTTGGAAGAGAGAATACGATATAAAAATTGTTACATACTATACTTCGTATACACGCTAAGGTCATCGCATGCGTCAAAGTTGCATTTTAAAATACTTAAAATAGTAAAATGCTACAATTATTTTTTTTCTAATACAGAAAGAAATATTGGCGAAGGTTAGTGTGATAGTAATTCGATGTAAATGTGCCTGTCCCAAGTAAGGAACCTGTAATTCAGTGGTTGTCGTTTGTTGCTGTATATTACATTTGTTTTTCGTTCATTTTTTTGTACATAAATCAGGCTGTTAGTTTTTTCGTTTGAATTGGTGTACATTTGTCATTTCGGGGCCTTTTATAGCTGACGTTTCGGTATTGGTTTTGTTCACTGTTGAAGGCCTTACAATGACCTATAGTTGTTAACTTCTATGTCATTTGGTCTCTGGTGGAGGGTCGTATCATTGGCAATCATACCCCATCTTCTTATTTTTATATCATAGTGCTTTTGAACGTTGCCTTTTTGTATTTATTACTTTATACATTTGTGTAACACATATACATCTGTGTTCCGTTTAAGAGAAAGTTGACTGGCAACTCTCCCCTTTTCTGAGTACTGACTAATAGGACATGTAAAATATCCTAACGGTTCGCGTTTTAATGCACTCGGATAATAAATGACAAAAAAATGTCTACAATTAACCTTTCCTGGTAGTCTATCTTGAAAATTGAAAATACTATTGCTTCACATTGTAATTTAAATCACGACTTCATGATCATCTACATTTGGGATCAGTTTGAACTTCTCATCAAAACTGCCAACACAATCTGTCAAAAAACTGTTCTGAACTGTCCAAAAAGGTGTAAAAATGTGGAAGGATAGAACTGTCAGAATATGTTCTGGGGTAGAAAAAAGAGAGGCAAAATATACCAAAGGGACATTCAAACTCATTAGTGGAAAACAAAACCTGACAATTTCTTCGCAAAAAACGAAAAACCATCAAAAGACAAACAACAGTATACAAAACATAACATAGAAAACAAAGACTGAGCAACATGAACCCCACCAAAACCGGCTGTGATCCCAGGTGCTCCGGAAGGGTGAGCAGATACTACACCACATGCGACAACCGTAGTGTTGCTCAAGTAAGTACAAACTCGAAGATAAGCTTACTTCGTTGATGTCACATTCGAGGAAAAAGCCGGGATTGTGGTTACGAAAACTGGAACATATCCGTGGTCATCTGTGAAACATATATTCTGAGTTCCATAACGGTCATTCACCTCGTAATAGCGTCCGTAAAATTTTTGATGGGATGATTTCAACTTCACCAATTGGAACCCGAGGTTTAAAAGCTTCCTTGTAAGGTCAAGGATAAGGGAGAATTAAATTACTATGCCATTCATATGCAGATTTGTTTATTTATTGATACAGCGAAACACTGAATCGTAATACAGATGATATATCAAATGACGAAACATTTGTGCAATTATTTTAAAATAACGAGTTAGCCTATCGATATGCATGGTTGTAATAAACCTGCATCAATAATTCATGGTGTCTCCTACTACTCGAAATACCTTTATGTAGTCTACCGGGTAATTTTGTACACTTTTATTAAGTATACGCGTTTCATGGGAAAATATGCAGTTTTTTTTGTTTTGAAATCAGTCTATCTAATTGTTGTATGTCATGTAGGTAAGTCTCCATTAGCTGGCGGCTCATTTAGTTAATAAGGAACAGTAACAGTTACTGTAGTTCACCTATGTTCAAATCTCATACATTTTGAACAAGAAATTATTCAATCCAAGTTATTATAAACAACTTAAGAAATCGAAGGAACTCCAAAGTAAACGAGACCAGTCGCGTCGACCGGCGTTTCCTGTAAAGCGTGTATTTCTGTGATAGTTTTATAAGTTCTGCATTGCATCTAGTTCTATAACATATGACTTCGTATTTTGTTTTCGCTTTTTCTATGTTTTAGGCGGATATTATAATTTTCTGTTTTATTGAAATTCGGGATTAGCCATCAATACAAAAAGCAAATATAAACGTTCAATAGAAAACATGAACCTGAGTTCTTATTCATAAGACTATATTGCATTTAAAAAAATTAATGATTCATGAAGCGATTAAAATTATATATGGAAGCACACATTAATTGGAATGTCTATAATAATCAAAATGCACTGTGCAGATATAATGAAATAAATAAATAAATTTAACCTAAAAAAATTAAGCCGTTAAAATATATCATTGAATTTTTACCAAATGCATTTAATCAAACTAAGATTTTGTGAACAACTTAACAGGCCAAGTACAACATATATTTTGTTTATTGAAGTATGCTCTTTGCATGGAAAGCATTTTATGCTTTTAAAAACTTTCTACTTACCTCATAAAAATGTTTTAACTGACTGACAAAAATATTAATATTTCACTGCTGTGTAAGTCCAGTCCAATTGTATTGCGTGAAAGTTCAGTTTTGTATTTTTCGATGTACTATTTTACTTTATAATCATCCTTTCATCCAAACGTTTCAAGTAAAACGGAGGAACTTAATCAGTTCTGTCACCACTACGTTTTAATCCTCGTTTTAGTCCACGAAAGTTATTGTCAGTGTTAATAGTTTGCTGTTGGCTGTCAAGCAGAGTCACGTTCTGTGAGTGGATTATTCTTATACGATCTGTTACCGGATATTACTAGCAATTAATCAAAGGCCTCGGCAATAGTTCATCCCAATATAAGCTGTGGGACAGAATGATCAATATGTTGTATTTCTTTAACATTACATGACAAGAAGTATTTCAGTGGTATATCTACTTAAGGATACTTCATCTGTATTTAACTAGAATTAAAACGTGTTTGACAACATATTAGAAATCGAATTTTTTATGAAGTAAGTTTTTATTCAATCTCTCCTTGATATCATTGAGAGCAATGAATTGAATCATTCTGCTTCCATTCGAATTGAAAACAACTTTCTAATTAAACTAGACCATAATTGCCAACTAGGTATGATTTCGAAAAAGCTGACAAAAGCAATCAACGATTCATGCAGGTATTACTAAAAGTAAATAAAAAATACAAAAGAAAATGTTCTTGGAATCTTTATAGATTTAAAGACATTTTAGCATAAAAAAAGGAGTAGAAGTATTACAGCTCATTGTTTTCTTTTTGGTCGAATAAAAATATGAAGGCTGGGTGAAATGGATCAAAATACGTGAACAAGGTACAACAAGTTGAAAGTAATTACACTAGGCATAATTATGGCATCTAATTAAATGACGCCATAACATACATGTGTATGTATTTATTAAAATGACAAAAGAAGTTTTATTACAGTTTTTCATGTGCTTTTGTGTGGAGGACACATCCAGTATTTGATATTCAACCAGTTGTTTTTATAAACGTATTATACCTTCTTAGACGAAAATTATGTCGTTTTCGTGGATTTCAAATCGTGTTATTCAATAAGAAAGATACAATTAAGGTACAAGAACAAAACTGAGGGAATCGCATACACTTTGAAAGAAGCGTGACTGCGTGCATCGCCACGCGAATCCCCATTAAGTCAAAATGGCAAAAGCTGAAAAAGAAAACGATCGGTTAACTTCCAGAGTAGACGACTATTCTAGTATCTAATGACCTAAGACTGCGTAAGTTGTTGCCAGTGAGTTGAGGCAGAGACATATCGTATCGGTCAACCAATTCGTGATGCTAACCGTAAATCTTTTTTTGTGTCGATTTCAGTAGTTCTTCCTCATTACTCCAATGGAGCGGTTTTCGTGTAAGGAGCGCACCCCTATTATTGACGTCCGTATGATGTGAACAACGCATTGTTTTAGTAGTGTGAACGCAATACGATTAGGTAATGAGTATATATGTTACAGCTGAGATTGTGTGTCGTTCCAGGATTTAACATTGAGATGCTCATAAACACAAGGAGATGTGATATGATTGTCAATGAGACAACTATCCACCAAAGTTCAAACGGAGTGGAGCACTTATGGGAACCCAAAACCCGTACTGTACTGTCTGATATAAAAGGCATCAACACGACAATATGTGAAACAATTCATTCGAATAAACCAACGGAAGAACAATAAACGAAAACAAAATATAACAGACAGCAACATAGGATAACCACTGAATGCAGGCGATTGACTTGCGATAGGCACGTAAGTAATGTGGCCTTACGAAACATGTTTGGAAGCGCTCACATGACCCCCACCCCCACCCCACCCCGAATTAACCTGGGACAATAACAGTAACTCATAAGATCATATGGCTCGTCTCATCATATCTGAAAATAGCACAAATACAACATAAAGACAAAAGACACTAATATCAGTTACTGGGAGCTGGTTTAAAGTCGATAACAACTAATAAGTAGATACAACATGTATTTTTATTTCGTAATATAATCATTTTGATAACGTTGATTCAAACGTATTCCGGTTAAGGCTATTTATTCCAGTATTAAATCTGCATCTAACCGTACGATACTTTATAGTAACTGAAGATTACTTTTTTCTTTTTTTGTAAACAGACTATGTGTAACGAGGGAACACTGTTGACGGAATAATCGTTTTGACACAATTTGTGTCTAATCACAACGGAGTTACTATAATAACACTATATTGAATGCCTTCAAATTTCAACGTGTTTTTGGAATGTTTATCAATTATAGTCTACTGGTATTTTTACGTTTTGCCAGACTAGTGCTAAGTCAACTTATCCTTTACCGGACTACAACATTAATTTACATCAACAATATTTATCATATTAACATTTATTTAACACATTGTGAAATTGTATTTATATTTGGAATTTTTAGTTTTTCATCGCACATTGTTAGATTCATATAGAGAATATCTATCAGTCGCTTGGTGTGTATGGACACAATCGTCGGTAACACATACTGGATCGCGCCAGTACATGGTTATTAGCATTGCACAACAGATAGTATTTTTAAAACATCGATTATTTGATGAACCATAATTACACCAAACTCATGAAGTACAAATAGATGTTATCGATCGAAAGGTGTGACACTCTTATAATTTCTATTTTGTTGTATTTATTATTTAAAACAGTGTGCACCTCAGGATTTTCCTAACCTAGAACAAGAAACTTAGTATCTACGTTTCGTATCAACCTCGCAAATAATACAAGATAGTCTTGACGTATAGATTTTAGGTACTGACGTTGTTTATCATCTTAATTGCTTGTTATAGTGTTCTTTTATTTGTCTTTGTAAATTATTAACCTTTACTGTTTAGTCCATTTGTGGTAATATCCTTTTGGCGTGGCTTGGTACTTTTACATCCCGCAATTGTATTATCGTTCTATGGTCATGTTAAGCTCACCTGGTTCAATTGGCGAAGTGAGCTTTTCTCATCACTTGGCGTCCGGTGTCAGTCGTCCGTCGTCGTCGTCGTCGTCGTCGTTCGGTAACTTTTACAAAAATTACTGGGCCAAATTTAACCAAACTTTGCCACAATCAGCAATAGGGTATCTAGTTTAATAAATGTGTCCGATGACCCCGCTTGCCAACCAACATAGCCGACATGGCTAAAAATAGAACATAGGGGTAAAATGCAGTTTTTAGCTTATATCTCTGAAACGAAAGCATTTATAGCGAATCTGACATGAGGTAAAATCTTTATCAGGTTGAAATCTATCCACACTGAAATTTTCAGACGAATCAGACAACCCGTTGTTGGGTTGCTGCCCCTGAATTAGTAATTTTAGGGACATTTTGCAGTTTTTGGTTATTATCTTAAATATTATTGTAGATAGAGATAAACTGTAAACAGCATTAATGTTCAGCATAGTACGATCTACAAATAAGTAAAAATACCAAAATTGTCAATTGACCCCTTAAGGAGTTTTTCTCTTTATAAGCATCTTTTGACAATTTTTCGTACATTTTTGTATTTTTTTTACAAAACTCTTCTCCACTGAATCTACTGGGCCAAAAAGAATTAAACTTAGCCACAATTTTTAAAAGGGTATCTTGATTGAAAAATGTATCCGATGACCCTGTCATCCTACCAACAAGGCCGCCATTGCTAAACATAGAACATAGGGGTTTACTATAGAATTCTATGGGAAAATTGTAAAAAAAAACAATTTCAAATGGTCACAACTTGAAAACTAATTTAAATAATGATATGGGGTCTTCAGTAACTATTGTAAGGCTACAATTGGATGACCTGCTTTTAATTTAACTACTAGGCCAAATTAAACCAAACGTGGCCTCAATCATTATAAGGGTATCTAATACTATTTATTATGATTTTAACCTTATTTTACATGATTTCCAAAACAATAGTAGATATAGGTGTGCCACACAGGCTCTTGAGAGCCTCTAGTTCTTGTATTCTTGTTTTCATTTTTGCTTATGTGCTTTGTCTATATGCCATTTTGTTTTTCTTTGTTGACATATTTGTTTGTCTTTGTAGTGATTAAGATTTTAACACAATGTTGACTGCTGTACTGCTGTTGAGGACACATTAGTAATTCCTTTGAATTTCTTAAAATACACATCTGAATTCCGATCCTTTTGGAGATCATGCGATTCCCTCAGTTAGTGTGTGTTGCTTTGATTCGTCTCTTCTTTATCGATGTACGAGATGTGAACATCGGTTAACTACTGTCGTCTTACACCCAACATCATGACAGTCGTTACAAAGCTGCTTGTCAATTTCAACTTTATTTTGAATTAGGATTAAACAATCTGATTATGTAGTAGCCCTTTTGTTGTTTATACAACATTGTCATTTATTTATGACAATGTCATTCGATGTGTTTGAGCATCACCGCTCTTCAACACTTTGTACATTGGATGATTGACAACCGTATTTTGAACGTCATATCGGGACACTTTACATAGATTCAAAATAAATCTATTAAATCAAAAATAGTTTTCAGTAGAAAATCCAAATAAACTACTTTTTCCATTCCATTTCAAAACAAGCAATTCATTTTTAAAGACATTTAGTCAAACATTTTATTTTTTAAAAATGCATCCTCTTCCAAAAAAGGAAAAAAAATCAATGCATAAGAAAGAAAATTTCAGCATGATATATTTAGTACCGATGTTTCAAATACTAATCAACTGTGAAGGATATTCTGGAGTCGTAAATTTTACGAGATCCATTGATTTCATTTCAATATGAAAATAGAGGTGTATGAATGTAAGATTACATTGTACTTGCTTGAAAATATTGGGTATAAAGGGGAAGATCTCTTTTGCAATAAAAGTCAGTAAAAACGTGCCTCTCTTAGTCAATTGAAATTTATACATTTTCGCTACGTGCGTGAATATACTTTTGTAAAAGAGGCAATACATTTCACAAACTAGACTTAATTGTTAGTCCTTACTAAAAACCCACGATATCTTTTATGAACAAAAATGTGATAGATAAAAAAAAAAACGTTTTCGTCGGATATTCTTCAGTGCAAAAAGACTTGAAAGATGCGGACAATTTCCCCTATATTGTTTTTTAACTTGCAAGCTAAATATCTATAAGTTTTGCATCGCTAACCAAATTTAATTAGTTTGAATCCGAAAGACGTTACATTATAAACCTTCTTTATCATGGTGAATTTGTAATAAAGAAAGTCTGTGGTGTAATTGAGAACACACAAAAGTATGTTTGATTCGCATTATTTATGTACCTG